GATTTTTATCATTATAGGGTGGTTGTGTACACACACTGCCAACACACATTTCAGTTCAAACAACTTTTAAAAGTGCATGTAGCATCCTATGACCCCTTTAAAAATTAAAGGATTGCAATGTAAAAGCTTATTATTGTGTAGGCTACATAAATATAAAAATGCCTACATGTCATAATGGATAGTCATTGCATGTATCAGAATTAGGCTACCTATTTGCTTGCGCACGAGCAGCCCCGTTCCATCTCTGGAGACGCTTCTTTGCGCTTCCAAATTCCGCCGTGTAAATAGCAAATCCGCCATGGCACGAGAGCGCAACTGGCTCTTAAAGGGAATGGGAGATGAGACTCTGATTGGTTTATTGCACGTTATGCCCAAAACACACCCATTACTCGTTAAGAGAATAGGGACAATCCTTTTAGACCATGCGCCAGGCACGCATACCGTTTTCCCGTAGTTAAACTAGCAAAAGTGGTTTTGGACGTGCCCCAAGTGCACCTGCGCCATGCGCTTTAGACCATGCGCTTAGATCGTTAAAATATTATTGCACGTTATGCCCAAAACACACCTATTACTCATTAAGAGAATAGGGACAACCCTTTTAGACCATGTGCCGGGTGCGCCGACCGTTTTTCCCATTGTTAAACTAGCAAAAGTGGATTTGGACACGCCCTAAGTGCACCTGCGCCGTGTGCTTTAGACCTTACGCTTAGATCGTTAAAATAGGGCCCATAATATTACAATGATGTATGTTCAAAAAACCATGGCAAATGTTATTAGCATGGGTTAACAAAATGCACAAAAGTAAACAATAAACATATGCAGGTTTCACCTATATGTTGCTATGTGTTTGAGAGGCTGCAAAGCAGCATGTGTTGAGCAGCAGGCTCTCTGACAGGCGCCTCTTGTCTCAGTGCTGTCACTCACTGTGGATCAGTTGCCCTTACTTCTCTCCACTGTCACCTTCAGTCAGATAGACCTCCTGAAAAACAGCACAACACCCTGACCGTATGCTGGGGCCACCAGCCCAGGCCATGTTCGGAGAAAAGCTCCCACTGCCTGGCCGAGATGTCATGTGCAAAAATAACTAAACGTACAGGGTCACAGCCAAACTACTAACAGCCAGATAATTGGTGCTCGACCTTAGAGGGATGACAGCTGCAGGAGGGTGACAAGGTATGAGGCTGGTCTGTGGGTTAGGGGCCACCTCAGCACATGGGACATTCTAAAGAGTCCTGAAGAGTACAGCATTTCTGCTGATTTTGTATTTTCCTGATCCTTTATCATACACCGTGTTCTAAACAGGCAAGTCATAATGGCAGCTAATTATAACATATTTGATGTTTACAATATGATGCCTTTAAGTAGCCTAAACAAAAATTGAAAGAAGGAACTTTGAGAACTTGAAAGCTGCATTCATATATTCAATACCTGTACAGAATGGAAAAAATTAGACCAATGACATTTCATGATACCTAGTGCATTGTGACAGAAATAGAATTTGAGCAACCAACAAAATCTTGATTATTGCAGTTGCAGCTGGTAAGGACCACAATTTATTTTAAAATGCACAAGACAGGAATTATAGTTTATTGTTTTACTCAGAAAAATTGCATTCTATTAAATGGTATGGGAGCTTCGGTTTGGGGTTCTTTCAATAACTAACATCTGAGACAAAGCAATTGTCTTGAAACATTAATAAAGAATGATACATGTAGAACATTATATGAACACTACAATTACATTAAAATAGCAATAACAATAAATATGTGCAAACGGGATGTGAAAAGAGAAATTAGCTCTTAATTCTCATTTAAAGATTGACTGGTGCCCCAGGGCAATAAACATAACAAGGTATTAGGACTAATGCCATGCTGACCAAAATAGGCACTAGCTGGCCTGCCGTGCGGGGCTAACGGTGCACTGCTCTGTGCATGACTGTCCCGGTCATTGCCAAATGTAGACAGGTAGAGAGAGATCTTGCTAAGGCCACAAGCCCTGCCTGTCCATCTGTCACTCAGTCCAGCAGCTTGCAGCCTCAGAGGGGCCATTAAACAAAGAACAGGCCAGCAAGCATTCACACAGAGCCTGAAAAGATGAATAACATCCCTTCCCTCCCAGGGCTGCTGGTTTAAAACTCCCTGACAGAAAAACAGGCCATAATCATTCCTTTTAATTTTCTCTTAGGGGAGCAACACATGGTAATTCCTGCATGCATTCTCAGGGGATTGTGGAAGTTGCCATGACCTGGCTGCAGTGGCATGAACTCCCACAAGAGGACTGAGTATTAGACAGAGGGGCACTTTTAATACATTAGAAAGTCCATGTATGAGCCCCTTCTGTGACCATCTGTGCTTCCATAATGCCCAAACAAAAAAATACTTAGATACTTTAAGATATAAAGAGAGACAGTGCTAACTGAACAGAAGATTCAAATTTATGACAGCTTTATCATCTG